TTCCAGATCTTCTCCAGCTTTTCTCTGAGCATCTGGTATATATTTCTTTCTTCTTCTTTTTTTCCTCACTATATATATTTGGTAGAGAGGAGTTTATGACATAAAAAAATTAAAACATTAAGATAAAAATCTTATTGGAGCATCCCTGCTGCAAACCAGCATTCCTGATGACCTGAGGTCAGCCAATGATGTTCACCCTGAAGCATGGCACTACTCGTCTCAGCAGCCACACTACGTATGCCATATGTCTGCTGGGCATCTCCTGCAGTTTAACATTAGCATGTCAAAAGTGATTAACTGCATCTTGTCTTCCACCCACTAACTGCTGGAGATAGACATCATCTCCCAGTACCCATGCAATTATAAGCATGTGAGGAGGACTGATGGGTGTGTCTCAAATTTTGCATCATTTCCTTTTTTTTCTTATATAGCATCCAAAGGTTGGATCATAATGATCTGACATCCAAGTTGTGCTGAATCAATAAAAAAATAAAAATAGACAAATGGCACATTAGAAGACCTTTACCTGCTTTATTTCTATTAAAGTGCTGCTCTCTGGGGCATCGGGTAGAAAATCCCAATGTGATGACAGTTTTCTGGATTAGACACACTTTCTAATGTGTAAAGTAGAACTTACAGACTTTAAGCTCAATGGCTTGCAATGACTGGCAGTGAACAGAAGGTGGCGCTGCCTGGATGAGCTGCAGATCAGCTCCTATGGTTCAAGTGTCATGTTTTTTTTTTTTCTACTCTGACAACAGGTGCTGCAGAACTACATCAGCACTTTTCACTTTTACACCATAGATCAGCCCAGAAACATACTGCTGCACAACAGAGAGCAACAACAACACACAGTCTGCCTGTTTGTGTTTTAATGCTGCTGTAATCCGGGCTGGCTGTGGAGCATTTACCGTTCTCGCTGTCCACATACAGGCTGTGGCATTCCTTCAGGATCCTCTCACTCGGAGTGGTGATCGCAGACTCCAGGGGGTTCGCCACAGACCGGGGCTTTCTGCCCGACATGATCAAACCGAGAACGCTCACCGAGGGTGGATCTCCTTGCAGTTTCCAGAGGAGGAGGGGGAAAGGTTTCAGGGTTGCACACACAAGCTCAAGGTGCTGGGTTAAAAAAGTAAAGCTCCCTCCTGTGGTCAAACGCTGTAACTTCAAAAACATGAGTCACAAATCAATCAATCAATAATGTTACTTTTGTTAATATTATTGAAATGCTTCATTTTAGATCTCACTTTTCACTAAACCAATTACTTATCAAAAGTCAATAACCAACATTATGACGCGTTGCATATTTTGCTGCTCTAGACTTGTCGATCTAAAATTGCCAGTTCAATTTAAAGATCTTTTTGCTTTCACTTTCTCATTGTTGCAAATTACAGAGGAGAATGTAAGGATCATTTTGACTGTAAAATTGGACAACAATTACTGTCTGGTGTATAAAATATCTCTTCAATGAAGAAAAATAAGGGTGAATTTTCTTTTAGGATATCAGCCCCATAAATAGAACACCATAGCAACAGCTTTGGGTTTGTGTGGTTTTACAATACGTATTGCAAACATCAAAATAACAGCAACAACTTAATGTTATTTTTAATGCAAACTTAAACAGATACTTTTGGGTGACAGTATTCTCAACTGCATCCATTTATGGTTAGAATTAAATGTAATAACTGGTTAAGTGGTATCTTTTTCATAAGGAAGCGTCAATCAAATGTTTGCCTTCTGGTTTTGCTTGGCAGGTGGATTTTGCAGCTTGCACAGGTGAAATGTATATACATTTCAAGTAGGCTTTTTTAAAATAAGATCCACAAAACCTTCTAACAGCTTACCAAACTATTAAATTACTTATCAGTTTGTGAAAATGATATTTATCATCTGTTGTGCTATAATATAGAAAAGTTTTAGAGTTAATTATTTACATCTTTTTTTAAAAGCCCGATTTCGCTGTTTTTCAGTATGCTACTTAAATCTGTCTGACACATTTATAAAAGCACAACAATGTCTTAAGATTATGCTTCAACATATTCATTTTTCTTACTAAATGTGCTTAATTGGTGCTAAAAATGAGAAATTAATATAGAACTTTTTTTCATAAAACATAATTTTCTTTATTTAGTGGTGACACACTTATTATTCTTTTAAAAGAAGCTCTTATTCCCTTCAGCTGCATGCAATGTGTCATGGGTCTTTCTATTATTCACAATATAGTCTTTGTATCATTTTATTGCCTTCATCGACTTTCTTACCACAAAACACCATTGTTTGTTGGAGAATAACTTTATCACCCATTGCTGCCCTCATGCAAACCTTCAGGGTGTTTTGAAGAACTCTCTGCATAAGATCAATAAATGGCAGTCTAAAATGCAAAGATGACCTAACCAGATGGATAAGGGTTTAACATTCACATGCTCAAGCTATTGTTCTTTTAAATTAAGAAGATCTCTTATCTTACTGGAGAAACGACCAATTATGGATAATTCCTTCCAGATTTCTGTGTAATTTCTATTTTTGTAGAAAAAGTAAAAAGGAATACAAAAACATTAAAAAAGAAAAAAATTCTGAAGACATGTAAAATACCAAGAACTCAATCATTATATCTCCATATTTGGGACTGAATGCACTGATCTTAAAAAGGAACAAAGTTTAGTACAGAGGCTGGTTATTATGTCTGCATATAGGTCAGCTGCTCTTCCGTTTGCCAAAAGGGTTCAGCTTCAGCACCACGAAGGAATGTGCTTGAAGGAGTTTAACAGCCCCCTCTACCTCAAAGCTAAGGTCATGTGCTGCACCTTACAACTTGCACAAATTATGTAAAGAGGCTACTCAGACTATGAAGCTCGACATGCAGTGAATTCTTTGTTTTGGCTCAATTTCACAGCATTTCCCAAGATGAATTTAAGTGAGGGGCCCGTTAACTCAAAGAAAAAGGTAAGTGTTCATTTTGACCCACTGTTTGGATTTACTGTTCTGAATATTTGATTTGCCGCTTGTTACTGAAAATGTTGCATCTTGGTATCCCTGCAGATAAACGCTGAGGAATTTGTTTCAGTATGCTTTTTTTTTTATATATTACCATCTTCTGACTGGTAATATATTCTGTCTATTACCACTTAAAAATTTGCTGTGAGGGTTTAGTTGAAAATTACCAGGCTTTCAATTTGCATTTACATTGGAAATTTCAAATTAATAGTTTCTGGTATTTTTTAATTAAAAGTAATAGCAATAAAAGCACAATTCAGAGGGAATAATATATTATAGTGTTACCATAATTTATCTGGAAAAGACTAAACAGTTGTACAAGTACTCAACCAAAATGGATTTTTAATCATTTATTTGTTTTATCTATTGTGCATTTTATGTTTTAGTCCTTATAAGATCCACCAATGAGTGCTTTCAACTTCTAGCAATTAAAGGGATCTTTATATATCTAAAAAAAAATTTAAAACATTTTTTTTTATGTTTATGAGAATGTATTTCAGAATATATGTACATACATACATATATATATATATATATATATATATATATATATATATATATATATATATATATATATATATATATATATATATATATATATATATATATTTAAAGTGTATCATTGTATCCATATGAATTAAATAAATAAACAGGAAAGAATATTTTAGCAAAGACATGTGCAGGTTTTGGTTATGAATTGAGCAGAAAGCAAGTGATAAGAGATGTTCTTCCATTTAAAACATAGGGGGAGACAACGCAGCATCTTTTTAGCTCACATCCACTCACTTCAGATCACAAACAGTCTTTGAACTATAACTCTTCTTTTTGCCCAAAAAATAAACCCAAAACACATTATTTTTACTGCTCACCCATGTGGACTTAAGTGTGAACATAATTTCTGCTCTGTTTCTTTTATAAGTTTGTATTATATTCTGCATTTCCTCCTCTAATATATAAGAATCAGGCTGTCACAAAGACCAACAAGATATGTTTGAATTATCTAATTGTTTTAAATACAACAGCTGACACTCATAAAGATAGCAGACGCGTAACAAATTCTGTAACTTAGCTGTTATCTTATTAAATATGGTTCACAAACCTATCTTAAAGATTTGTCAGTGAAATTATTTGTCTCAATTGTCAGCATATGGAGGTTATAAAAGTATATTTCTACCTAGTCAATAAACTGGAACATAGCTTTAAACTCTCCTAATGATAGATAACATGATGTGAATTGCAGCTCTCACACATAACCTCTGTTTTATTGAAGAGTAATATTATCACTTATTAGATTTTATTGAATTGATTCCATTTGAGAATACCAGCATTACATCTTTTTAAATGCTGTCCTACTTATGAATGTGTGGGACTCAATATATAATCTTTGCATGGTGCTAATTTAAAGTGTGAATGAATGATTCCAACAGACGATGCAATCCTAACACTCTTGTGTTAAAGTTATTGTGCACACTGAAATTGATAGTTTGGTATAATTTATTGTATTACGCAGTCCTATACCTTTACTATTACTGGAGCTGCTCTAAAAGCTGCCTATTACAAATATGAACTGCAGATTATCACAATTACATTTGCTTTAAATTATAAGTAAATGACCATAGCTTATAAACACTGGAGGTTTTCTTCAGATTGTGTATAACTGGTGAATTGATAAATCTGTGCTTAAGTCAACCCATGGCTCATGGGAAGACCCTGCATCACAAGCTGCAGCAAATTGGGGTTGTGCCTCAGAGGGTCTCTAAAACATTTGATCTAATTAACTTTTATATTAAAAGATTGGTCAAAAAAGACTGAATTGATTTGCAAATCTACATACAGCTTTATCACGCTACAGACCTGCTCTAAATGTAATTTCCCCTCTCTGAGCTGGACTTCTTCCCTTGGAAACAGAAGAACCATGAAATCTGATAAACTGAAAGTACCCACATTATGCAGGAGATTCTCCACACATTTTCTCACAACAGATCAGTTGTGCTTGTCTCAGTTTAGACCTATCCCCCAGTCAAACATCTTCTGACTTCTGAGAGCTGGCTCTTGAAGGAAGGATACTCTATGGACGGCAGTTTTGAGGGACTTTGAGATAGAAAGAAAAAATGCCTAAGGAATATATGGATGAGTATGAGCCTCTGCTAAAAAAGGGTATTAAAGACAAAAAGCGCTTAAAGGTATGAAAACTGTACATTTTGGTCTGTTTTGGAAAGAAGAATGATGAGTGGATAGAGGGTGAGCTTGATTTCTTTGATTTAAAGGAATGCTTCACTGAGGTCTTTGTTTGAATCGTTGCAGCTTCCAAACATATCCCTGCTACTGGCCGTGTTTGCTGCTTGTGTTGGAGGAACATTTCAGTATGGATATAACATATCTGTCATTAACGCACCTACAATGGTAAGAACCAGGCAGCATGGGATTACTGGCAGAAATATGTTACTTCTTTAAAAAAGCAGTTTTGTCAGTAAGGAAAGTTAAGTCTTAAGACCAAAAAAAAAAAAAATCTTAAAAATTTTTACCAGCAAATGCGTTCACTCTTTAATACCACAATCCAACAAGAAAGGTTTTATCTTTTAAGATAAGTATTTCTGATGCTGATAACAAGAGATCAAACGTTCAAACTGGAACATTGCAGCTTTTTCTGTTCACATTTAATTTGTGAACCCATGCTTTACAAGTTCATCACTTTTACTTGTTTAATTAAATGTTTAACTGTATATTTTCTGCTCTCATTACTCTTAAAGTACGTACAAAGCTTCATTAACCGCACCTGGATGGAGCGCTACCAAACCAACATCTCACAGGAAGGACTCACGCTGCTCTGGTCCACCATTGTGTCCATGTTCACCTTGGGAGGACTTATAGGGGCATCACTAGGCGGCACTTTGTCTGTGAAGCTGGGGAGGTATGAAAATATAATCTGTCTGTAATTAGTCTTATCTTTTGTAGTTTGAAAAACTGATCATGTGTTTTCCTTCAGGAGAGGAACATTGCTCACTAATAATGCCTTTTCACTCATGGCTGCTCTGCTGATGGGTATAAGCTCTACTGCAGGCTCATTTGAGCTGCTCATCATTGGACGTCTCCTGAGTGGAATCAATGCAGGTAAATGCATGAAAAAATTATCCACCATCACCACCACCTTTAACTTTCTTCTCTTTTTTCCCATTACATCTATAATCTAAGATATCATGTGTTGGGAATTTTATGTTTATTAGTTATGTTTCCGTATAAGGTCTGTAACGTCTGGTGCCCATGTCTATTTGCCCCCCCAAGTCAATGTTTTTAAGAATCAGAGTGTTAAGTTGCTTAACCAATTAGCTTTGCATAGAATCAGTTTTCCCTCTCCTTTACAAAACAGCACAAGATCAGAAAATATTTGCTGTCCCCACTGCATAGAACCAAATCCACAGCATGATTATTTCGAAGTACTGTGAAAGCAATCTCCCTTTAAACGCAGAATAGTGCATTCCATGCCCAGTGTTTATTCTTAGGCTGTTTCAGCTCAAGCGGCACTTTTTATAAATATATCACACCACATCCCTGTCTATATATTTTCATAATTCTGTTAAGGAATCTTTTCCAGCTGCTATAAATTACCCACTTTTCCTCCTGACTGACCTTCCTTATACATGTGCGTTTTTTTGTTTTTGTATGTGTTTGATTTATGTGCAAAATTTCAGACTGTTAAAACTCCATAATGACGATAAAGATTCTTGATACTGCCATTTCCAGTGTGATGTGAGATGTTATTTTTCCCTATACAAAGATTAGACACCAGATTACTGGAATGCTCAACTGACTGTTGTCTTTTCAACACATTCGTCCTCCTGAGCTATGGATCCTAACTCTGCAGCTCCTCTAGAGTTTCCATGGGCTCTTTGCTCCCCTTCTGGTTAATGCTCGCCATGGTCAGTCCTTTAGTTGGATGATCATGTTTATAAGGCTTAGATTTCTGCAAAACGTATTGTATTTTCAGATTGTAGCAATTTTTCCTGTAACTGATGTGTTGTTGGTTTGAAACCCCTTTCCATATCTTTAAGTCATTGTATCCTATCAATTGTATCTTCATGCTGCTCCTTGTTGTCCATTGTTCTCTAACGAACCATGGTCTGTTGTATTAATACTGAAGTATAAATCTAGTTGAATAAAGCAATGCTGCGTATAAAGATTTTTTAGATATATTTATTTTTAGTTTAGGGCTCCTTTATGTTAATTTTTTCACATAAAATCCCAATAAAATTTAATGAAGTGGTTTAACAAAGAGACATGTTTACATATTAAATAATTTCATAAACCCCAGTTTTTCTCCTTAGATTTAGAAGGCTCCAATTACTTAAAATATCCATATCAGTTTAATTTTTTTCTGATAAAAAGTAGTGCTGCCAGAATACAAAAAGGACAAAACATGAATATTAATCCTGGATTGTTGTTTTCAGGCATTGCCCTGTGTGTTCAACCTCTTTACTTGGGGGAAATAGCTCCAACTGCATTACGTGGGGCCACAGGGATGGGAACTTCAGTCTTCATTACTGGTGGAATCTTAACAGGACAAGTTATGGGCCTCAAGTAAATCTTAAACACTAGAATCATTGCATAACATTGACCTCGAATGAACATACAGTTTGCTATGTTTTTATAAAAGCAAAATGCTGCATCTGTGTGTAATTGTGCAGAGAAATCCTGGGGAAAGAAGAGTACTGGCCCATCCTGCTCTCCACCACCTGCATCCCTGCGTTTATGCAACTCCTGATTCTGCCCTGGTTCCCAGAGAGTCCCCGTTTCTTGCTCATTGATAAAGGAGATGAGGATGGGTGTAAAAAAGGTACCGAATCTAAACAGTTTTTCTCGATTTCTTTTCTGAATCACCATTTCTGTTATTTTTTTCGTTGAAAAGGCTGTAAAGGCGCTTTAACTGTTACTGGAACAGCTGGGATCCAAAGCATAGAATAAAAATAAATGTACAAAGGCTTCCTCTCTTACACATGCCAAATTCCAAGAACCCAGAGAATCCAAGTACAAATGTCTTCTATGCAACAAGCACTATCTCTTGGTTTTTGCATGTGACCTAGTTTGGATGACACTGCAGCTATGTGAAGGAAAGCGATTTATTGTAGAGAACTTTTTGATTGGACTTTAGAAGTCACACCCCTGCCTCCTGATCAGATGAGAAAAATGGCATCCACAGAGGATTTCAATCACTGTGTCATGTGGTTTCCTGTGTTCAGCCTTGAGGCAGCTGCATGGTTTGGCTGACTCTGATGGTGCTTTTGAGGATATCGAAAAAGAGAGGAACAATTTGGTGGGTTTCCAAGCCAAGAAGCCTTGGGAGCTCTTCGGTGACCGTAGTTTACGCTGGCAGCTTCTCACCATCATACTGCTGAACACTGCTCAGCAGTTAAATGGCATTAATGCTGTATGTATAAAGTACCCCATGATTACACCTCCTCATCCCACTGTACATAACTTTTGCATTGTATACTTAATATTCGAAAAGTCCAGATTATTTTCTTCTGTTTCAGATCTATTTCTATGCTGATTACGTTTTCCGTCAATCTGGTATTCCTATCGATAAAATACCATATGCCACTGTTGGCACAGGTGCCTGCGAATGCCTTACAGCTTTAACATGTGTAAGTATCCATTTCTACTCATATTTTGAATTAACATGCCTGTATTTATACAGAAATTAAGTCCCAGACAAACATATTGTTTCCGCTGACTCCTGGCGTAAAGGGTTCTTAGTAAAACTGCACAACACACTTTTTTTTTACTTTGAACCAGGTAGAGAAACAATCAAATTAAATATGTGTCAGAAGTTTCTTAGAAACCCAGAAGGATTTCCTCTGTACATAACATACCTGTGAATTTCAAACCCAACAACACTTTCAGACAAAAACGGGTTCATTCCAAAGACTGAACACCCAAACCAAAGAGCAGCATAGGAGAGCCAGCAGCTCTGGGCAGGATTCAGTTGTGCACCTTCACCTAAAGAACAAAGGAAAGGACCTTTGATGACTAAAATTTTCCCATTTTGGATGGAGAGGACAGATCGTTTGAAAGAGGGGTGAGGGAAGCCATCTTTGCAGCATCTCTGAACAAAAAGCGCAGAATTGAGGGTTCATCTTCCGAGCATTAACAATTCAGTCATGGAACTTATAATTAATGACTAGTGACTATTTGAATTGTATCTGACTTGGAATATGCTTGGAGAATGTACCTCCATACTGCTCAAAATACCAGCAGAACTAGCAGACTGAATATGTGTCAAAACGTCTTTACAAAAAAAAAGCGAAAATATGGTTGCCTCCAGTTTAAGCCTGTTTTGTGATTGCCATGACTGAAAATTGCACTCAGGCAAAACAAGGTATCATTTTTCTTCTGTTTTGGAAATATTTTTAAATAATAAGCATGTAGGAAATTCTAATAAACCTGTAACACCCAATAAATCTAGGAAACACAACATTTGATACACCCAAATGCATGCGTGATATGTGATGTATTTTTAGAAGTGACATTATATTTATCGATTAGATAAAGTTGCAATCAAATGTTTTCAGGTTTAGGGTTAAGCAACCAAATGTGTATATATATATGGGTCTGCAAATATTCACACATAAAGTATTGTGATTCACATCACATTATAATATATATAAGTAATATAACTTGACATAAGATTGAAGTGATTAAAAAATGTTATTCATCTCAGTTCTATGCTGTATTTCCTGTATTAGCGGAAGAAAAAAAAAACTCCTGTTTTTCTGATTTCCAGAACAGAATGCTATCTATTAAATTCTAGATCAGAATGTTGTGGAACAAATCCAAGATCATTTACTTGTTAAACCTCCCCCTACATGTTTGTTCATGGTCTTGTGACTCACAGGGTATGCTCATTGAATGTCTGGGAAGGAAGGTCCTCATCATGGGGGGATACATACTGATGAGTATCTGCTCTGTTTTTTTCACGCTCACGCTTACTTTCCAGGTAATCCGCCTCATGATTACACATCTACTGTAACCCTCTTGTTTACACCTGAGTTAACTTTTGCTCTCCCTTCAGGATGTCAGCCCAGTTTTTCCATACTTGAGCATGGCATGTGTTTTTGCTTTCATCTTGAGTTTTGGCTTGGGGCCAGGTAAGTGAATAAACCAGGAATATTTTTACCTCATTACATTTCACAGCTGATTTCCCTTGTGGTTTCTGTCTGCTTAAAGGTGGTGTAACTAATATCCTGACCACAGAGCTGTTCACACAAACCGCTCGGCCTGCTGCGTTCATAATCGCAGGTTCAGTCAATTGGCTCAGCTTCTTCTTCATTAGCTTGGTTTTTCCCTTCATTGTGGTCAGTGCTCAAAGTTAACAGGACTACATTTTTCATGTGTATTTAACTTTCACCTGATACATCTGTTCTATTACGTTCACAGATTGGGCTACAGCAGTACTGCTTCCTGGTCTTCTTGGGAGTCTGCACCTCTGTGGCTACCTACATTTTCTTTTTTATCCCTGAAACAAAGAACAAAACCTTTGTGGAAATACAAAATGAGTTCCAGTCATCTAAGAAGAATAAGTTCTCCAGTTCAGATGGAGCAGGGACTATACTCTTATCAACATCCATTTAATGCTGCTAATGCTCCTGAGACTAACTGTAACCTTTATCACTTATTGATCTTTATTCACTTCCACACCTGAACACCTAAACTATCAAATAGATGGCACTACATAGTAAATGTCTAGAAATAGAGAAAAATAAGACCTTGTTATATCATTAGAGGTGTTGGCTTATACTACCTCTATAAAGGGTGCTCTATTTAAAGTTTTAAATAAAGTTAATTTAATATAGATATCCCTTCTTCCCACTGCAGCTGTGTGGTCGTTACTAATCCCTCTGAAATGCATGTGGTCTGAACGACAGAAACGTAACCATGTTTTATATTTGCAAGGCTAAAAAGTGCATCAGCAAGTACAATTACCGTAAACTGTGGTGCTTAAAAGTGTTAATAAAAACAGAAGTGTAATTTATAAATAAGTAGAAATATTTTGTTGCTTTGGCTGTTTATGAAAAAATAATAATAATAGAAATTGAAAATATATAAATAACAATTGAAAATAATAATAATAAACTAAATAGATATTGATTTAAAGTGCCATCTCACTGAGATTTCACATCCAAAATTAAGGAAAAATGCAGGAAAATCATCCACAAATATTCCTTCTCTTTAGTTTGCCTTAAAATAAGGCAAACCTTCTTGTTATCTCTCGAAGGTCTTCAGCAATAATTATTTAGGGTCATTTTTTCTGCTTTAGATATTTCACACATTATGAAAGTAAATTTATATTTTAAGTAACTATAATAATAAAAAAGAAATCTTTGACGGCAATTTTCTTGTCCCTTAAATCTACTGGAAAAGAGGAAAAACCCAAGAACGATTAAATAGATGAGTAATGAAAAAACAAATGATTGATTTGATACTCCCAGTTACAGCAGATGCATAAACCCCTCAAGCATTTCATGACATTTTAAAGGGCTGCTTTTTTTTCTTGCATAAGACTGAAATTTGTCAAAGGGATCACCTGAGCTGAAAAATAAAAGCACCACATCGCTGACCACTGAAGTCACAAACTACAGAGGTGATGATGTTTAGCGCAGATATACTTAATCCATCTCCAGCTGCAACTGGGCAAGAGTTTGGGTACACCTTAAAAACCTCAGAAATTAGTTTCAGTTGATCTGGAATAGCTTTAAAGGATCAAGCCTTTCAAGGAAGTAGGGGGCTTCATTTGGAGAGGGACATTTTTATAGTTAGTCCAGGTATTGGTTTAGCAAGCAGGGATGCTTAAATCATTGTGGTAATATTCCATGACTTGTATCTCCTGCATATAATCTATCAGTCGTCTTTTTACTGTCCACTCAGAAATTAGTTTAATCAGAGCTGCCATTATGTACAGCCATTCCATCTTGTCCTCTTTACTTTTTTTTGCTTTTAAAAATTTGAATTTAAATATTGTAACTAATCCACATTAAAGTAAAACTCATAATTTTGATACATGAATGATTTTCCTAACTTTATTTAAACACCCTTAACCTTTGAAGAAATAAATGTGTTTATAGTTGGACACTGACATGTGTGCAGCTATGTGTTTTTCTTTTAAAGTTTAAAACAAAATAAAGTGTTGCCCATAACGTTAAGTGGCTAGATATTTTTAACATTTTAAACTTTTCAGGGTTAAAAAAAAAACAACATTTTATTTGATTGTTTGGAAACACTGATTCCTTCTGAACTCAATTTAAGTCTCACTTTATACACTGCCACCTACTGGCCAACAATAGTCATCTAAAGCAATGCTACATTGCTCAGAAATTTTGACTTACTTTTTAATATTTGAATAACTTTATACAGGTTTCAGTCACATGTTTATAAACCTTTGTCAGCAGTACCAGCTCTCAGATGAATGCATGCATGACCCATCAGTCAACGCTAATCCTAACCCTGATATATGAAACTTGATCATCCAGAACCTCGTGTTCAGGGGCAGACCATAAAGGGTGCCATAGGTAGCCATGGCAACCCCTATCCAATGAGTTGCCAACCCTAGGGCCACCTCAACTTAGTGATGTGTTGCTCTCATTGAAACCTCCAGAGCAAGCAGTTCACCTCTCAAATAGAGGGTGGCAGCAGTGATACTCCCAGGTGTGATGTTCTAACTGGATTTTTCAACTTAATTCAGTTAATTCATATAGTGCCAATTCACAGGATATGTAATTTCAAGGCACTTTACAGAGACAATTTAATCAGATCAGGCAGTACTATCAGTTTAAACTTTTCTAAAACCAGCTAAAAGCATCAACTCATTGACTCGACAGCAATCCTTCACACCAAGCATTCAAGTAGCAACAGTGGAGAGAAAAACTTGGTTTAACAGTAAGAAACCTCCAGCAGAACCAGGCTCAGTGTGAGCGGCCGTATGTCAAGGCCGACTGGGGTTCAAGAAGATTGAAGCAGGGATAAAGAAAGAAGCAAAGATACAAAAGGCAACTGTGAACCAGCTCCACGGGTCGTCCAGCCCAGGAAACACACACCCAGGCAGACGAGCTCTGAGCCAGCTCCCATGTCAGAGGATGAAAGAGAGCACATACAGCCAGTCACAGAAACAGGACAACACTCAAAAACAGGCCAAGCTCCAACGCCTATATACAAAGTTGTTGATGGAGAGCAGCACAGCTGCTATTTCTCTGCGGGATGGTGTCACAGCCAAACAGGAACAGACCAGATGAAGCTAGCAGAGAGACCATAAAGTTAGAGGTTGAACTGACAAATACTGTAGAATGGGAGAATAGAAATAGAACGAAGAGAATGATTTAAAGGGGTCCCTATGTCCTCCAGCTTGATCAAAAACTAAAGTTTTAATCCTACCCTTAAAAGTAGTCAGGGTGTCTGCCTCAAAGACTAAAACTGGTAGTGGGTTCCGCAGGAGAGGATAACTAAACAATCTGCCTCCCATTCTACTTTTAGAAATTCTAGGAACCACTAGTAAACCAGCAGATTGAGAGTGACATGCTCTCTTGGGAATAAAAGGAACAATCATAGCTTTAATAAAAGATGGAGCTTGGCCATTTAAGGCTTTATATGTTAAATTTTATTCTGAATTTAACAGGAAGCCAATGAAAAGAAGCTAGGATAGGAGAGATCTATTAGATGTCTGTTAAACTAAGATTCTGCTTCCTGATTTGCCACCCGGGCTGTCAGGGTTTTGGAGGACTATTAAATTTGGCCAGATTTCTAGAAAGAAGAGCTATGCCATCCAAAGTGGGATGGATGCCGTCTCTTCAAATCAGACCAGGCTGTAGCCGACATCGTTTTCAGGACACAACCTAGACAACTAGCAGTTGCTGCCGCACTTTTCCTTATCTTGCAATGCATTTTGGTGTCTCAGAAAGATCTTGTTGCATGAGACAACAGGAAAAATGAAGCATGTTTTGGAAAACACAAAGTTTTGTCTCTCCCAGTACTTTATTTGCATACTTGTGATTCCTCCTTTGCATAAAGCCAGTAAGTTACTTCTACCTTAATATCATTTCCCCCCTACTTAACAACCATCTGGACACCAGGATAAGAATAATTAACAGTCCACTAGTGCCTTCAATTAGTCAAATTATCACACACTGAATTAATTAGAAAGTAGGTCAGGGGGAATACGATCAAGTAAAATGATACGACTGGCATAATATCAAATACAAACAGCATAAAAACAAAACAACAAGCCGGTCCCATCTAGGCGTAATGGGAGAAATTGACACATGAAGTGTGCTCCTGATGTCCAGTCTGCTCCGTAGCTTTGTTTTGGTCGCTGTAACCGCAGAAAATCCCGCTTCACAAAGATAGGATGTTATAGATAGGATGAGTCTTGAACTGAATTAACCTGTGTCAACAGGCACAGATGCACCGACTAATGTAATTGGGAGAGAATACCGCAATTTTTTATATTTTTCAAAATAAAACATCACTCAGACTCTGATAGTCGATAAATTATATATATATATATATATATATATACAGTGGGGCAAAAAAGTATTTAGTCAGCCACCAATAGTGCAAGTTCTCCCACTCAAAAAGATGAGAGAGGCCGGTTATTTTCATCATAGATATACCTCAACTATGAGAGACAAAATGAGAAAAAAAAATCCAGAAAATCACATTGTCTGATTTTTAAAGAATGTATTTGCAAAATATGGTGGAAAATAAGTATTTGGTCAGTTACAAACAAGCAAGATTTCTGGCTCACACAGACCTGTAACTTCTTCTGTAGGAGGCTCCTCTGTCCTCCACTCGTTACCTTCATTAATGGCACCTGTTTGAACCCGTTATCAGTATAAAAGACACCTGTCCACAACCTTAAACAGTCACACTCTAAACTCCACCACGGCCAAAACTAGAGAGCTGTCAAAGGACATCCGAAACAAAATTATAGACCTGCACCAGGCTGGGAAGTCTGAATCTGCAATAGGTTCAACTGTGGGATCAATTATTAGAAAATGGAAAACATACAAGACCACTGATAATCTTCCTCGATCTGGGGCTCCACGCAAGATCTCACCCCGTGGGGTCAAAATGATCACAAGAACGGTGAGTAAAAATCCCAGAACCACACGGGGGGACCTAGTGAATGACCTGCAGAGAGCTGGGACCAAAGTAACAAAGGCTACCATCAGTAACACACTACGCCGCCAGGGACTCAAATCCTGCAGTGCCAGACGTGTCCCCCTGCTTAAGCCAGTACATGTCAAGGCCCGTCTCAAGTTTGCTAGAGAGCATTTGGATGATCCAGACGATGACTGGAAGAATATCATATGGTCAGATGAAACCAAAATAGAACTTTTTGGTAAAAACTCTACTCGTCGTGTTTGGAGGAGAGAGAATGCTGAGTTGCATCCAAAGAACACCATACCTACAGTGAAGCATGGGGGTGGAAACATCATGCTTTGGGGCTGTTTTTCTGCTAAGGGACCAGGACGACTGATCCGTGTGAAGGAAAGAATGAATGGGGCCATGTATCGTCAAATTTTGAGTGAAAACCTCCTTCCATCAGCAAGGGCATTGAAGATGAAACGTGGCTGGGTCTTTCAGCATGACAATGATCCCAAACACACCGCCGGGTAACGAAGGAGTGGCTTCGTAAGAAGCATTTCAAGGTCCTGGAGTGGCCTAGCCAGTCTCCAGATCTCAACCCCATAGAAAATCTTTGGAGGGAGTTGAAAGTCCGTGTTGCCCAGCGACAGCCCCAGAACATCACTGCTCTAGAGGAGATCTGCATGGAGGAATGGGCCAAAATACCAGCAACAGTGTGTGAAAGCCTTGTGAAGACTTACAGAAAACGTTTGATCTCTGTCATTGCCAACAAAGGGTATCTAACAAAGTATTGAGATGAACTTTGTTATTGACCAAATACTTATTTTCCACCATATTTTGCAAATAAATTCTTTAAAAATCAGACAATGTGATTTTCTGGATTTTTTTTTCTCACTTTGAATGACCTATTAATTAACTATAACTTACAGTTCTAGTTATTTGCTAAATTCATAATCTTCTGGT